CCCTAGATTGGAGCTGGCTAACTTTATTTGGACGGCTTTTAGGCCAGAAGCCTTTCAGGAGGGAAAGTTTGTTAATAATTTTAAGTGATTTGCCAGAATGAAGGCAACAGTTTTTTAATTGCTCTTTCTGGGCAGAGGGATTTTCACAGAACACTTTACCAAATGATTGAAGTTGAATGCCGGGACTATGAATAGAATTTCTCCTTAAGCGTCAGCCATTTTTAACAAGCTCTGTAAACTCAAGTGTTTTTCACAAAATTAAAACTTTTGAAAAGTTTCTTGCGAATGAATGATTTTTGTATAATCTATTTAAGATAAATAAAAAGAACTCTTTAACTCTGACAACCATCACTACCTATCATACTTTATCTACCAATTTTGGAAAATTGCAATGAAAATGATCTGGGGAATGGTGTGCCTCAATTGGCAACTAAACAATGACAGAGTGTATGTGCCCCAGATCCATTTTCAATATGCTAATACCAAATAAAAGAGACTATAACTAGAGATACTGGCTTGTGGCATTTTGAGAATGCAAATTAACGCGCCACAGCGATGGGATTCGAAATTCGAATGAAAAATGCCCCAAAGCCAGAAATAGGAAATTGATGTTATCCTTAACTACTAGTTAGTATTCCTTGTGCTCTGTGGCAGTGGCCATCAATATGGCCAATATTCCAATTCATGGCACAAACACACATGGGTGTATATTTTTTTGTGTTCAGTTGATGCTGAGCTGAGCATCGCCAGCTGAGCTCGGGAGACAAAGGAGATGCATATCGCATATTGTATATGCATTTATGAAAATGCCAGGCTTGATTATGCAACAGGGAACTGCTATTGCAGTGGTGGTGCGGGGGTAGTGCTGATATTGCCAGCAGAAACTATCAAAATGCACGCCATGAGGCAAACAACAAAAAGCCGGCAACACAAGCTGCCGCAACATGGCAAACATGAAACCGAAACCGAAAACTGTAACTAAAACTATGGGGCTAAACCACCCAACTACATGCCACACTGCCGCACCACCATTACTATCACCCTCACCACCCACACACAACACACCATGCATCAAAATTGAAAAAAAAGCAAGATCCAGTAAAATTTGCATGCATATTTACAAACTTTCGAAGGGAAAATCGGAATGATGTTAAGGCCACTGGCAGAAATGTGAACATATCCTTTAAAAAACATAAAAAACAATATATATATTGGTAAGGGAAATGCACAAAAATTATTGTGTGTATGAACATTATTAATAAGGGACCTTAAATACGTTATTTTAGTTTCAAAATATATACAAGTATGAACAATTTTTACTTGAATCTCTTGATTTATTTTTAGTTATAGAATTATATATACATTAAAGAAATTTCCTAAAAAAGTTTATAATAGTAATTTATAAAATCCTTATATTTTTTTCGAGTGCCCTAACATCCCCTGAATATTTTTTGGCATAACCCGCCCGTCACCTTCTTGGTGAACCCCTGACTTGTCAAGCCGCATTTGATGTTCGTTTTTGCAACTATTTGCAAATGCAAATTGCAAACATGCAACAGGGACATGTTGCGTAAATGTCAATGCTAGAACAACAACAACAATAATAGGAAAAAAGAAACCCCAGCCATGCAACAACCAAATACACATGCAAATGTCTTTCTGCCAATCTCCCCATGGATTGCCTTTCATATGGAGTATACTCGCACATATATATGGGGAATTAGAGTGCGGTTCTTGGAATATAGCCACTCGATGTGCTTCTCGCTTGTCGCCTTCATTGATAAGCAGTTTTTCCGGGGAGGTTAAAGTTCATCCTCAACCCACACTCTATCCTTCTCTCAAGGAATAACAAAAGAAAATTCCAAATGGCTGGTTGGCTGTCATTTGATTGACAGGGGAGTTCCTCCAGCAATTGCATGGCATATAAGGGGGCGTGCCCATAACGAGGAGGCGGAAGACTAGCAAATGGCGTGGTTTTATCTAGATATGGGGAAATTGCTGGGCAGGCTTGAAAGGATATGATCTGAATATTAGAATAAAGTATTCAATTGTAGAATTTATTTTTTTGGCAAGGTATTAGTATGAATTAATTTATAATAACTTCCCTTAAATGCATTCATAACTCAGCTGGCTGATATCCTGGCCGTAAGTGTTTTATTCCCCAATTCTTTCCTATTCCGAGGCATTTTTGTTCTGGTTTTCAGTGGCGTTCAGTAACCACACAAACAATTGAAAATTGGCAACGGAAAAGCAACAAAAACGTGAAATTTATGTCCACCATTTTTGGGGGCCATCGCCGGCAGTGAGTTTCCATTTATTTACGACTGTTTGCGCCCGCAGATGTTTTCTTTATTTTAATGTATTTTTCCATTCGCGTGCGAGGTTCTCGCTTTATCAGCAGTTTGTTATGCCAACTGGTCCACTCCGTATCGCCAGTCCTGTGACTGGTTCCCTCCACATTGTGTTTGCCTGAATGTGGATTTAATTTTATGCCCGCTCAATATTTCATCTTTACTTTACGCACATAAATGCCAAACGTACATATATGCATAAGTGATATTTCTCATACCAAAAAATTGAAATATTTATGCGTGTTTGTCTTTTTTGTGTTTGTTTTTTTTTCTTCTGGTTTTATTGGTTTGGTTATTTTGTCTCGTGTTGTCCTTTTTAGCAGTGTCCTTACGTTGTCCTTGCCGGCCACATTGTCATTTGCTTCAAGTGTCAAACGCTGCTGAGTGGCCAACGATGTCGCCATTGCCGCTTGTCGGCGGAGGTTTCCGGTCTTCCCTTTCCCTCTCTTTCTTTTTTTCCTGTCTCACTCTGTCTATGGGGCATGTTGAAGTTCTGGCTTCTTTTTGGCCAAAATATAATGGTTAGTAGAACTTATTAAAAAACCAAATATTAAAAATACCAGTCCTTTTCTGTCCTTTATATCTGGTCACCACTGCCCTCGAAGTCCACTTCCAGTCTGTCCCCGCCCACTTTTTTGGGTTTATTTGCGTTGGCGGCAAAGTGTCTCGTCGCCTGGTGCTCCTGCTCCTCCATCTCCACCTCCAGCTCCATTCCTTTTCCATTTTTTGTTGTTGGTTGGTTGTTGGTCTTCTTCCTGCTCCTGTGAGTTTTCTGTTTGTTTTGCATTTTTCCGCTCCACCCTGCGGTTGTCCTTTTACCCTTGGTCCTTGGGCTCACACTTTTCCTGCAGATATATTCAGATATTTTCCAACGTAGCTTCTTCCTCTACAATTTCATTTTTTTTCTGCCTCGTTCCGCATATCTTATGAAATTGTTTATTTTTCTCGCTGTGTGTAAGCGAGGAGGGTGGACGGTGGAGTGGGGCCGTAAAATGTGTTTATGCTGCCCAACTGCCATTTACCCTCTCGATAGGATCGCAGTAGAGCCCTCCTGCCCCAAAGCCTCCCCAGCGTTTATGTAGAGTGCATAATGGTTGTTTACTTTTTAACCTTCTCCTCAAGCTCCTCCTGATGCTCCCACGCCACCCACTGTATGAAGTTTGGTTTTTTTTATCTCATCAGTTTTTCTTGCGATTTTCATTCACTTTGAAGTCTGCCGCTGTCATTTGAGGCTGCTGTTGGAAAACTTCATTTTTTTCTCACTCTGGCTGAGAGTTTTGAGGACTTTGATTGAAAGTGAGGAGGAGATTTTTGCAAAACTAGAACTATTTTTCTGGATATTATGAATATGAGAAAAAAAGGTTTTTATAAATATTTTTGTTGTCAACGAAGCATTTTCATCTATCAAGATTTTTTTTCACTTATTCATAATTTAAGTTCCCAACAACTTTGAATTTTACAAATTCTTTCTCTAGCATACTTCTAAGATATACTTATTCCCTTATATTTCAACTATAAATACTGTCATATAGCCCTACCAAAAAGCATATATAACCCCACTGTATACTCTATAATCTTTGCTTTCCTTTTTGTAGTTTATCTTTCCTTTCCTCAAATTTGCGTACTCAGCTTACCAAGTCTACTGGAGTAGTTATCATTTTATTCTCTATGTGCCAACATCTTTTTCAGGCCTTTTTTTTAGCACTTTGTGCAGCGGCACTTGGGAAAAACGACGTCGTCAAAGTGTCCTTAAAATAGTCATCAAATAACAAGCAGGCTCCCGGCACCACAATTGCAAACTCCTTTTCCTGCTCGAGGGGATTTCGTATGCATGTGCATGCGCCGGGCTCTTTATAAAAGGTGTTGAATTCAGTGCCTGCCTTGAATTACAGGCTGCATCCTTTTGGCCAAGAAGGATGCGGATATACATACGGTGGATATGTGGCTTTAAGTCTTTAATTTGGCCGAGGACGAGAATGTTGGATGGGGAAACCGTAGGCGGTCTGTGGCCGGGACGACACTAATTGGTCGTGTTGTAGTCACGTAGAGATCTCAGTGGTTGTATCTGTATCTGTCAGATTGCACAGCCAATCAATGCCACTGACTGTTGTTGCTGTCCGGTTTATCCTGTGACCAGATGGTCTTACATGTGTATATCGTTTATTTTATTTGTCATCTAGTTTTTCTTGTGTGCAACAAAAGTCAAATGCTTTGTATGCAAATACCAAAAACCGACAAATACGAAATCTATGCATACGCTGACCAAATTTAATTCTCAGCAGATGTATTCTGTATCCTTCGATGTATCTGTTACTACTGTTTATCCACTTGTCAAGACTTGCCATCCCCCCTTGCCGCACTTCTCATATGGTATGGCTTATATGGTATTTGCTGTTTGTTTTCGGTTTTTGGTTTTGTGAAAAATCAGGGCTCTGTTAAGGCATTCAAATAAATAAATGCATGTGTGCTTGCCTTGTCTTGTTTATTATGCAATATGCATGACCACTTTTTCCTCAGGATGTGCATTGTACAAGTCAAAGGATTAGCTCAGGTTTGCCTGACTGACTCAAAATTGTAACTGCTGAGGCTGCTATACTATACTATATACTTTCCTGCCAGACAGTTTCCTGGACAAACATGTGAAATATTGCAATTTGCATACAGTGTCCTTCTAATTCAATTAGGACAACTGAATTTGAGCAGCTCTTTTTTTTATCTAATCGGTTGATCTCTTATTTGACTTGTTTTGTTTTTTAGTTTTGGGAAATTTCTCATGCATATATGCATACTTTCTAGAGAGAGGCCACAGGGAAATCCTTGAACAAACTGAGTTTATGGAAAGCAGGCCATGGGGATTAGGATGAAGGATTTTGGTCAGCATGTGCTGTAGTTTCCGCTTTAAAATTTTAGCAAGCTTGTTATACCAAGAACACCTTAAATTGTTTAAATCGCAAAACCCATTTCCACTCCCAACAATCTTTGTTGCCCCTATGTCTTCCGAGTCCTGCAAGCAATTTGAAGGCAAATTAAATTCCTCGCGCTTTAGTTACACTCGTGTATTAAGTCAACAAAGATGTACGGCAAATAAAGCAACTGCCAAAGGATAACAGGAACAACAATGTGGAGGCGGCCAAAGGATAACACGGGCACGCGAACAACAGCACGTTGGCTTCATAAAAACTGCCTTGGCTTCAGTTTCGGAGTCCTGGCAAAGGATACCCAGGGAGTGGCTACCAGATTGAATGTCTTTGTCCTGCAACACAGGACATGCACTGGTTTAGGACTCTATAACTAAGCTACAAGATATCATTGCCAGAAAATCCTTTTGATTTTATAAATTCCCAGTTTCATTAAGGTTGATTGATCTCCTTAAACGGATGTCCCCTTTTCTTCCCTTTTACCTTTCACTTTATTCAACTAAGAAATTTGCAAATTAATTTTCTGCTTCGGAAGTTCGCAAGTTTGTTTATTTGAATGACACAAGCTGGGGAAATTGCGAAATTGCAAAACTACAAATGACAGCCAAGGCAAACATTCGGTTAGGAAATTTTACTTATAAGCTGCTTTAATTACACTTCCACTTCCACAGCCACAACCACCGCCTGGCCCCATTGGTGAAAATATCAATTTCCCCCCGAGACAAGTGCAGCCAAGTTGAAAGGTCTTTTGTGGATTCAAGAGCACAAAAAGCGATTTTCTGCATTTGAAATTTTCACAATTTTTGTTCGGTTGTTGTTTGTTGTCAACTTACCCTGAAAATTGAAATTTTGTTGTCGAAGCATTTGACCGCAATGTTTGAACGATTCTGTAAATAGATTGAAAAGCGGAAATGCGATAATTAAAACCAGTTTCCATTTCAGGCTCTTGAACCTTAAACATAATTCTTAGTCTACCTCACTGATTACTGAATTATTTATTTGATATTCTAAGTTTCTTAGGGATGTATGCAAATAATAAGCAAATAAACAGGCAAATAAATGCTCAACTCGAGGCATTTATAGTTCAATTACAATGAAAACGATGCCCAAAGTTAACAACAGAAAACCCTTCGCAATCCCCTTTTAACCATTACAGATTCAAAGTTATGTTTTCAAGAGTGGCAAGGAGTTGGGAAAAGTCGGGAAACTGGGAAAACAACATCGCTTTTTGCTTTGAATAAATATTAATGAAGTAGGCCATAGAAGTGCGAGTCGAGTCGAGTAGAGTCGGTTGGATTGCTCCCCTTATGGAGCATTTGTAACAAGAAATCCTGGCCTATTTACAAGTTTTCCATTCATTGTTGCTCCACCTCTTGGGTTTCAGTTTATTTGCATAGGATTCCCATAATGGGAACGAGGAGCTACTCACTGGTTAAGTCACGCATCACCGCTCCGATTGCTGATGGCGGCGGGCACTCGGCGCTTAATTAGCAAATGTTTTGGTTATTAAATGGACCATGAAATAGGCGGCCACTGAACACATAGCTCTGCTTTCTACATTAAATTTAAGCTCTGCTTCAGGCCAGTTATTTTGGTACACAGAGAACAAAACTTGGTCTTCCACTTTACAATCAAGAAAATGGAAAATCCTGTTGGCAAATCTGATGGAAGTAAGGCTTTTGATTTCTCATTATACACCCTGACGAGGACAAAAGGCTAGATTAGAGTGACAAGAGATTTTAGAGTTGACTTTTGTAGGACACACCCTTCGGCCCTTCAGTTCAGTCCATTAAAATCCACTCAAGTGCACTTAAATGCTTCCGAGTGCTCTGCTGACTGCCATTTCTGCTTCGCTACTAATGACTGTTAAGACCTAAATCCTATATCTTGTTCTCTATCTTTACAGGTCTTGACTTTTCCATGACTTTCTATGATTGTTTGAAGAGTATTTTTTAAGAAAATTGGTCTGCTTTACAAGTATCGGTTATTGTACAGAAAAGAAACTCTCCATATTCTAAAGATTTTTATGAATCAACTTTTACGTACTCTGTAGAGTATTTCTCTTTAGTCCTGTTATCATTTTTGTATCCCAGCTTGTCACATGGATGAGTAATCGTAACCTCAGCCCGCTGTGAGAGCCACAAACTACTCCACCCCAAGGGGAAAAAGCAACTTGTCTGTAATCAAGGAAACTGCAAGTTTTCGCCTTAACTGTTATCGCTTGTGATTCATTTTTGTAGCGCTTTTGAATGGTCCATAAAATGTCGCAGGGTGCAAGTGCAAGTGCAACCAGTTGCATGTCCTCGGCAGGACGGGCCCTGGCCTGGGCTGGCCTGGCCTGGCCCTACTACCCTGCCCTCGCGCAACAATGTTCGTTGGTATGCCGCGCCCGGGCTGGCCATAACCGACACCAAAGTTCAGGCCAAAAGGTGTCGCGCCTTGGCCGGATCAACTAAGTCGCTTCGCTTTAATTAAATTGACAAAGTTTTCTGGGCTGCGAAAAGTTTGCAATTTATTTTTTGGGCTCGGCTGGGGGAGTGTTTTTCAGCAGAAAACGAGGGTAGATTGCTTTAAATGCAAATGGTACTTGGTTGGCCTCCTTTTCTGGAACAGAAAAACCTTTCTGTTTTATTTTTTTTGCCGTTCTGCCATTCATTTTTATGGCCAACGTGTGTGGCGATGGGTGTGTGGGTGGGTGTCTGAGTGTGCCGATTTGATTGTATTGTGGCTCGTTCTAAGTCACAACTAACGAGGCCATCAACAGGATGCTGCACAGGCAGCAAAAGGACCAAAAGCCCAACAAAAGCAGCACAAAAGCCGATTGCAGTTGGTATGTGATTAGAGACACACGGGAGTTGGCAAAAACGAGCCAGCCAAAGGACGAGGACGAGGGGTGGTAGTCAGCGACACGTTGCGAAAATTGCCTTAACTGTAATTGCCAGGACCTGCCTTCTGGTACCTTTTTGAGCTTCGCCAGCTCCTCCAGGCTATCCAGGTTACCCCCACAAATTAGGCTTAAATGCTAGAGACAGCAGCCTATCCAATCGTTGGCTGTCTTCCGGTGGCTTTGCCTCTCTGCTCCATCTGATTGGTTTTGTCGACCCAAAAATCCGTCCAAAAGGGAGATAAGCTCTTGGCAGGGATTACCTGGATTTGAACTAGTTTCTGAGAGGATTTGAATAGTTGAACTCCAAAGTGATAAGTTCTGTGAAACCAGATGGAAACTGAATGGGAAATGCTTTTCTTTTTATGGCAGAACTTTTCCAGTATTTTTAAATTAAAACCCCTTAGCTCCAGGTCAGAATACGTTCCCATTTAATTGGGGAAAATAATTTTCCACAACTCGTGCTTTGGCCTGAAAAAAAGTGGGAATTTCTCAAATTTCATTTAGAGCTTCGTTCAGGCTCGCTGTTTACCAAATAACAACAATAAATTTCCAGCTTATGCCAGAGCCGTAAAAACCATTTTATGGCAGAATTTTTTTCGCCAGCCAGCGTTGGGGAAAAAATAATGCAATTAAACAAATAAATTTCCCAATAAACCTATTTGAGGCGGAATGTCGGAGATGTGAGCCTGGCTCACAAAAAAAAAATATATAAAAAAATGGCGTAATTTACCTCAATTAACACACCAGATGGGCGTGGCCTGATGGGAGGAAGCTGCAACGCCACAGCCGTTCAATGCAAGAGGGGCTATGATTGGATGGAGAATCCTGGAGGGATATCTGTGCGTCCGGGTGTGGCTTTAATTGCTGGCAATGGTCAGTCAGACAGGACCCGTGTCCGGACTCCGCAGTCCGGAGTCGTAACCCGGCGGTCTGGCGGTCCCTCATCCGGCGCCGGCCACGCCCCATTCTGAATTTTATCGCCCCTCTTAACGACACTCCAAGTGCCCGCCGTCGAAGCCATTAAAAACTGGAGGGAACAACCTTAAACTGCTCTCTCTTTGGTCTCCTTTTTCTTTTTTGGCAAGTAATGACCAAAAACAAATCGACAAGGAGCAGCATCCTTGGCCAGGACATGTCTGGTCCGGGTGCCATTTAATGTCCATGTAAATGTGAGCTAACCAACCTACCTGGCCGCCATTAAAGTTCACTTTATGTGAACCATTTTACAGCGCTCATGAGTTCAGTATAAGCCAACATACAACAAAAAAACAGGAAGGACAAGGAAAAAAAAGGAAGGTCCTGCTGCAACTGTTTCTAATTGTGTGTGGGCCTGCATAAAAATGCTAATTTTATGACATAGAACAGACACAGGCGAAACAAGTTTCCATCTTGTAAATATTTTCATTATGGTTTTCAGCCCAGCATTGGCGAGCGGCAACAGCTGTCCTACCAGGACATAAAATGCCTGTTTATGAACGTGCCCCGAATGTCCGAGATGTTTCCCAGTAGCCCCCTTTTAGTCTGGGCCTCAGGGTTCAAATGCCAAGTAAGGAGGACTCTAAATAATCGAAATGTCCTCCTCGGGGCCGGCCACTAAGTGAGGTAATAATTTTCGAAAGATAAAGCTTAAATGCTTTATCCGAAAGTTATAAACAATTGGTATCAGGACTCTTTCTTAAAAGCTTTTTGCAATTAAACTTTGGATTATTTATGACAATAATTTTATTTATATAATGAAGTATTTTAAAATATTTAAAGTGCATGAGCCCATGGAGTTTCTGACTAATTAAAAAAGTCTTAGTTAAGTGAAAAAACGAATAAAGAGTCAGTCGGCAGGACATGTGTGTAAGTCCTTAATGTATCTGTAAGTCTTCTCTAAATGCATTTGTGTCTGCGCTACTTGTTTAAGCTTATGTTGCCTGAATTTTTTTTTTAGATTTTTGTGTTTTTGTTTTTCAGCTGCCTTTGTTTTTCCCAGTTTTGCTTCCCAGTTGCTGTTGTTGTGTCAGCTTCCGTTTCCGCAAAGTCTGTCTGCCTGAGAGTGTGTGAGTTTGCTACTCAGTTGTGCCTTCCTGTTAGCGCCTTTGGGAATAGACTTCCAGCTGCCTCTAGCTATAAATGCACTCGAAAAAGTAACATATTTTTAAAAAGAAATAAAAATAAAGTATTGGTTTAAAAAATGAAATACAAATATGAACCTATGTCTAGCACTTTTTATTTACAAATTTTGAAAGTCTAGCTATTTTTTTCAAGTGCAATTATTGGCTTCCCTAGACTAGCTTCATATTTCGCCATTTTTCGTTTACTTTATAAAATTGTAAAATATTACACAAATAAATAGAAAATTCAGCGGCTTGGGAAAAATGAAGCTACTTAGGATACCGCCCGGGGACCTTCAATGAGGCCCGATACGGGCTTTAATTTTTCCCCAACCGCGTATTAAAGTCAAGAGCTTTTACAGCGTTTACGGCCAAAAGTTGTTCCCTATTTTTATTGCATTTTTTTGGAGGTTTTTTTTTTGTTAGACTTGTTAAGAGCGCCGAAAAGTCGGTAACGGGACTTGATGATGTTGCGCTGACGTGGCGCATTCGTGGCTTGTTTACAGGACGAGGGGAGGTGGTGTCAAGAAGAAAAAAAAGGAGGGTTGGGGTGCTGGGGCGGTACTGTTTCTGTAAGCTCATCGCATTTGTGCAGCTGTTTGGTTGGCAACTTTTTTTCGTAAATTTTTTTCGGGCTTCGTTTGGGGGTTGTCTGCTGACGACATTTTGTCATGTTGTTTTTGCAGCTTGGCTTTAGCCTTCGGGCAAGGATTCCCCCAGCCCGGCCCCAAACCAGCCAGCGAACTCCCCACTTGGCCAGCAGTCTAATATCAACACTTTTGTGCTACGTAATTACTTTGAAATTAGTTTGCGTCGCAAACTTTGCACATTATGCGCATCCTTATGCCCACAGCGTGTCCCCGTCTCTCTCCGACCCACATAGTCCTCGAAGCATTAAAGT